AGTAGTAGGCCTATTGCCTGCATATATACCATAACATGATAAGTCGACCATCAAATTTTCTCCCCTGCAAAAATACCTGGTGCATTTGCCACTATGAAATTAGTAAATATACACATAATACTTAATGTTTATACTAATATAAAATCAAAATTAAATGAATCTGTCTTTACTTAATACTATGTGTATATATTAAGCATAATACTCTCTTCAGTACTAATCTGAATAAGAACCTTAGTAATGTTTAAACTTAGAATTTAAATTGAATTTCCGCCACTGTCCTACATTCTTTATTTGCGCAGATAACAAAAGAATAATAAAAATATATTGAAAAGTATATTACAACGGTTGTATCGCTATAAGCAATCTCCTACATACCACCTGGAAAATATAGCCCGCAAAATAATTTAAAATCGTATAAAACGAACTCGCTTCCGCTTTCTATCCGCTTAGATCTGATAGAACGCAACTGATATTAAAGCAGTTTTAGCAATAGATAGAGTGATTCAGAGGAAGGACATATAAAATGTATACCTAATATATGTACATATATATACTCATGCGAATCTGAGGCGGATAGCTAGTTAATAATAAATGCAACTACAATTAAAGTAAATCTACCCTCGTTCCTGGGGATATCCAACTAGATACAGATAAATATGTCTAGCACTGCAAATCCTTTCACGACACCGTTGAGCGGGCTTTACTCTCTCGATGCGCGAGAAATGGATGCTTTGTGCTAAAACCTTGAAAATAATTTTCCACTCTTCATTTATAGAGTATAGACCAGTAATCCAAGTTTATCCACTTTGTTACCTTGTTTGTGTCATTGGAAATTGTTACTTTGAAAACTGAACTAGCTGGATTTAATCTACATTCAATTAAAAATATATATTTTGACGAACGAGTGTAACATAAATCTAATAGTAACATAGTATGTATATTATTCAAAAAATAAGTATGCTTTTATAAAATTTAATGAATTTTTTGAAATACCTAATGTAAAATAGTGCACTGTCAACTAAACTAGATGGTTGAAAATTTCACAAATTTAATATTAACATCTCCTCTGTTTTAAAGTTTTACTTCAGATCATATAGATATTGATATGTGTACGATGATGTAACATATTCTGTGAAATTTTCATCGGAATTCCTTCAAAATATTAAAACACAAACAGATGTACCGATAGTTTTTACCTCGTTACGATATTACGATTATAATATAGGTGTATGTGAAGAAAGTTAAAAATAGAAAAATTGTCTATGAAAGAAAAATAAAGATAACATTGTGTATGTTACGTATGTAGGTATTTCTACAAGTATAAAAAGTTATGCTATTGTTTTGTCCACTGTCCATATCCTAGACTGGTACAATTATTAATTAATAAGAATAAACTCAGAATGCTCTTGTAAATCAGTCTTTTAATGTACCTACTTACTTATTTTTTGATGTTTCAAGTCAAGAGTGAATAGGCACTATTTGAGCTTGCGTGTAATACTTTAGACAACATCATCAGTTAACATCAGGTGAGATTGCGGTCAAACGCGCTCAAATTTTAACATAAAAAAAAGTATAGAAATTGTAGGTAACTATCTAAAATTGTTAACATCGAAAAATCCATTCTAATTCTGAACAACTTACGGCGTAAGTTGTTCAGACGTGGAATTTCCAACCCGGTTGTCTCTCATCTCATCTTTACTTAGTAAAAAACATAGTCGCCGTCGCTGTCTATTCTCTTAGGTATATCTTTTTATTATGCGATGGATTTTAATGCAGTTTTCAGCAATAGGTAGAGTGATTCAAGAGGAAAGTTTATATGTATAACATATGAGTGTATACATATAAACTTTATGTGGTCGCTATTTAACTATAACTTAATGATATTTTATTTTATATTTGTTCTAACTTCTGAAGTATAATAGGTAGGTATAAAGTAAATAACCTGTATTTCAAATCGATATCATATTTTAGAATTTAATGTACTTTCTTATAAAAAGATACCATTAATAGGTAGTATCTATGTCTATCTTGGGACGGATGGCCTATTTATTATTACTATCAGTAATAATAAATAGGCCATCCGTCCCAAGCTAAGCAGAAATTGTGTTATGGGTACTAGACAACAGATATAAATACACGTTTACATAGAAAACACCCAGACCGATACAAACAATCATGCTCATGAATACAAAATTGATATCGTGAGATGAATCGAACCTGCAACCATCGCATATTAGGCGTTGTGCTAAACCGCTAGTCCACAGAGATCGTCTACTTAATCTTTATTTATTGAAACAATTAGTTGCGGTCAATATGTGGATAGTATATTGAATATGTTTAAATCATATTTGAGTTAAAGATCGTCACAACCGTACGAGTCGTACGTGAATGTTAAACCCCCATCCAATTGTATGTTTTATTACGCTCCCGAACAAACAAACAATCACAGCTGTCTTCGAGGAACAACCCTATTATTTCTTTAGCACACTAAAATTAACTAACGCTTATGTCTTCCTTGAAATACTTGTGTTTTACTGTTGTTTTAAACCAACTTATAAAAAGAGAAGGGTTTAGAAATTATTTATACATTATTACAGTTACTTTATTACATATTAGTTTTAATGTAAATTATGAATTGTATTGATAATGTGAATTGTTTATTATTTATTTTAATTAAATTTAATTAATACGCTGGGGGTGGGGTGTCTTAGTAATGGGGACTAATGACCCCATTGCTAGCAATGTACCGCGTTAAAAATTCCTAGTGAATTTGCAGCGATGCTAACTCTAGCCTGACCTTATTGTCCTCTTGTCCTCAACTAGTGCCCCGCCAACGTAAACCGTTAGAGCAGGCAGAAGCCAAATTCTTGTCATCTATTTAAAATATTAAAAAAACATACACACACAGTAGTCCGGTGGTTGACCATTAGATATATTTATATAATGTTAAACCATATCTAACTTTGCATCCCGGTAGTAGGAATTTCTATTTAGAATGGACAATTTCAAATATACATAGATATATATTACCTACAAATTACAGATATATAGGTCATTAATATTATATGTACAATAAATACGTAGGTATAGATTATTAAGTAGATATAGATATATATGATAATAATATCTATTTAATGACGAACACTAGAATACTACTAGTTAAATTAGATAATCATATGGTCACCACTCTGTGTTGGAGGCAGGTATTCCATTAGTGACATAACTCTAACAGTTCATTCTTTTCTTTTATGTATAGGTACATAATAAACATGTAGGTATAAAAAACACACACCTATACCTAGATAAATAGACAATTTACTCCTCGTCACAATTTCTTTGATTATAGAAATAAATTGATTAAATAAACTTAATATAAGCACTTTTGAATAGTTATATATTTTTTATTCTACCACTCATTCGTAACGCAGACTCATCACAAGAAGGAGACCAAGAATCGAGCGTGCTGCTCTTTTATAGAAATGTAGTTTAGAATTACTTTTTTTTAATTCTGTGTGAATAGAAACAACAAAATATTAAAACATGAGTAAATCATTACTTTAGTAACAAAATAAATCGGTTATAGTTATCAGAGCAGACCAGTCCTCTACAAGCAGCACCCGTTCAGGAGTATAACGGGTGAGCCAACCATGCGCTACACTGCGCTAACTGCTCTACCAAAATAATTTTGTATTTGTATAGTAATTGTCTTTTGTTGTACCTGTATTTTTAATTAGCGTTAATTATTGAACTTTTGATATATCTGAACTTAGTGAGCACTGAATCAAGCTACAGCGCAACCCTAGTATAACTACAAATAATATAATATTACAGTATTAGATATGAACCTCAATATACCTATCGATATCCTCCATTTAACAAATTCTTCGTAAAAACCCCTTGAAGTGCTCATAAGAGTCAATGTAAAATATAGGTAGCTACTACTAAAATGATTAGATATTAATTCCATAATTCTAAAATTCAGGTCAACACAGTTTTAAAAAAAGAAAATACAATGATTTAATCATAATGAGTTTTATTTTAGGAGTATTTTTGCTGTAACAAGATACGTAGTTAAAATAATGAGCGGACTAAAGCTGCAATGCAATGTGGATATAACAAATTTTAGATCAACCTAACCTCAATATAATAAACTTCAATTTAACAAATTACTTCATTAGTATAAGAAATATTTGTTCCCTTCTGATTTGTGATATCGAGTTTGTGCTGTATCTATACATTTTTATAGGCAGTATGAAAACCGGTAATATACAAATTATGTCAAAAAATGTACACTAGCTATAGGTCACTCCCCTACTAGTTTTACCTATAATCGTATAGCTATCAAACCAAACTACATATAACCAAACCACCTGATTGTATTATAAATCAAAGAGGTATCTGTATTATGTAGGTAGGTGCCTATAGGAATGCCTATTATTTCTTGATTATTAGATTATAAGTGTTAGTTTGTTTTGAATAATTCTACTGCTGTTTATGATTAATCAAGTATGACTAATTAATTAGTTCAAAGTTTTTTAAAAGTACTTATGTACCTATCAATTGCAATTCTAAAAATAAACTTGTAATGTTAAGGGAGCACTCGCACACACGGTGCAACTGCATGCAATATGTGTTGCACTGCGTGTGCGTTGTAAGGGTTGCAGCGCGCGGCGTGCTCGCGTGTCTGCGTGCCAGCGTGTTCGTGAGCCCGCGTGCCCGCGTGCACGCTGGCGAGCAGGCGACGGCGCGCGCTGCGCGGGCGCTGCTCGTGGCGCGACGATCGATGGGGGCGCGGGGAGAGCTGGGCGCGCGCCGCGGGGGCGGGGCCAGGGGCGGCGCGAGCCATCATTCGCTGACGTCGCGGCGTTGGACCCGCCCCCGCGGCCGCCCCCCCGCGCCGCGCCCCGCCGCTCGCCGCGCCGTCGCTCAGTGACTCGCGAGTCGCCGCACACGTCATACGTGCCGCGTTGCGCTCTCATCACGGACGTGTTACGTTGCAGATGCGAGCCCGCTGTCGCTAGAGCGATGCCGGCCGAGGAAGAACCCGCGGCGATGGAGAGCCGGGACTTGGACGGTTCGCCCCAGCAATTCTGTCTGAGATGGAACAACTATCAGAGCAACCTCGCGAACTGCTTCGACCAGCTGCTGCAGACAGAGTCGTTCGTCGATGTGACCCTCGCGTGCGACGGTCAGAGTCTGAAGGCGCACAAGGTGGTGCTGTCGGCTTGCAGCCCTTACTTCCAATCGCTGTTCATGGACAATCCGTGCCGGCACCCGATCATTATCATGCGGGACATTAAGTACTGCGACCTGAAGGCGGTGGTGGACTTCATGTACCGCGGGGAGATCAACGTGTCGCAAGATCAGATCACGGCGCTGCTGAAAGTGGCCGAAACGCTGAAGATCCGCGGGCTGACGGATGTGAGCGGAGAGCACGCTGTGCTACGGCCTGGAGGTGGCGTGGAGCCCCGGGTGCCCAAGAGGCCCGTTAGCTGTGACACTGATACACCGGCGAAGGCCCGCCGTTGCGCGTCCTCTGAGCACGATCGCAGCCCTCGAGGCTCGCCGGGCACGCCGGCCGCCGGCTCCGACTTACCGCAGGCCGCCGCCGCCCCCGGGGACCCGGCCGCCCATGGTGGACCCTCGCTGGCCGCGCTGCACGCCGAGGACGTCGACATCCGCCCCGGCATCGCCGAGATGATCCGCGAGGAGGAAAGGGTGAGTACAGTTTCTTTTTCGCAACTTTACAGCGTCGCCAAGTCATCGGTCACGCGTGGCGCTCGTAAAAGTTTTCCCGCCGTGGAGCGCCCCCCGCCCCGCCGGCCGCCCCCAGCTAGCGTCTCGGGCTCCCCGCGTGGCCCCCGCACCCTCGTCTCGCAAAACTTTCCATTCCGTATCGCATTACGTAATTAATTTATTTTAGACTCGACTACTTTGTTATTGCTAATGTGAAAGTTATAAGTGTTCGAGGATCGATCGGGGGCTCTTTCCGCCTCATCCATATTCGCGCCCTGTGGCTGCCCCTTGATCCGGGCACATGTTGTGTCGAGCTCGTGTGAGCTCGTGTCGCGGGATGTCGGCACCATTATTTCAGTGTCGCGATTCACACTCACCTATCGTCCGCACGTTTTCAAGTGCAGCGCGAGGCTTGCGAAACGTCTTCCCGCTGTTTACATTGTAAATAACGAGCGTGCGGGCGGTGAGATTAAGCTAGCACTCTTTGTGGTGCCGACAATAAAAGAATCAAAATAAACTCGTACCCATGCTACGGTGACCACGTGTCGCGCACATACAGCACAGTCCCGCGACTTTATACCTTGTCACTTTATTTAATTAATTAAGCAGGTTTATAATTTTGAAATCAACGTTTTTATGAATATAAGTAATCTGTTTAATAAAATTGAGTAACTTCGTTTTATTGTATTACCGCCACCGTATTTGCCAAAACCTATTCTATTATACTAGCTGTGCACGCGATTCCTTTCACTCGCGTGAAATTAGCCTAGGTATGTGTTATGCTGATGTACCTATAACCTATATGACTATAAAGTTTCGTCAAAATTCGTTCAGTAGTTTTTAAAAAGTAACAATCATCCACACTAACACACTTTCACGTTTATAATATTAGTAAGATATTAAATAGGTATCTATTTTAGAAGGACAAAAAACTGCTAGGTATTGGTACAAGGTAGCAAAGATGTTTGTTTCCCAATAAATAAACAATAAATTGAGAATTAGAGATCCTTGTTTGCACCCACACATTCTAATTAATTAGAATATAAGCAGATTATTGTTTTTCCTGGTAAAATTATTTTCAGAATTTAATGCTTACTAATTAGGAAAACATTTCGCCGGTAACTACGCAGACATAACTGTTCCGGTAAACAATTATCTTGTACCTACTTAATTATATAGGTATACTTCAATAATACAAATCGAGAGTAGTTGATGTGTTCTATTTCATGACAGTCAAATATTCTGGATATATAATATTAGGGCAAAAAATAGGTAGAATTCCGTATTAGAAGATAAAATTAGAAAATTTGAATAAAATTATTAAATTAAAATATAACTTTTAAATATAATATAAATATGTATAAGTATATAATTTTTAGATTTACAGCTAAAATTAATTCTTATCTATCTAAGTATATTATTCTATAATAAATGAGATAAGGAAGAAGCACATGATGATGATGATGCTCTCCTATAAAATGCGATAATTCCATATAGTCATTTTAAATTATCAATCCAGGTCATAAACTTTAAAATAAATAAATAAAATAAGTCTACCTGTGTGCAAAGTTTCATTCAAACCCGCCCAGCGGTTGCGTGATTGGTTAACGAGTAGAATTCGCAACTTTGTACTTTTGCGTATCAACTTTTAGTTCACATTTAATATAATAATATCTAATTGGTTGTTACGTTTCGTATTAAATATAAAAGGGCTTATAAATAAAATGAATGCGGAAATAAGTTTAATGCATTGTTTTAATTAGAATCATAATAGTTGTAATAATATATCTTAGGAAAATTCACACAGTGGCGCTGTGTTAATTACCCTATATATTATATAGGATATTTTTAAGTCCTAGTCCAAGCTATACCCAGAGCTTTTTATAGGTACTAGACAACTGATACAAATACATTTTTCAGATTTATTATATTACATACATATTACATTTTTAGATACATTTTTATTCATGAATATAAATTATTGTTCCGTTCGAGTTTTTTGTCACTTATTCGGTTGTAATTGTATTGACTAATTAACTGGAGATTTGAGTTACTGTCTAGTAGTTGTACATAGGTACATCTAGAAGATTCTATAGAAAATGAAGCACTTCGGTCACCTTTATATGAAAAAAAATTGGAAATCGTTTGCTTGGGTACTTCTATGTCAGCTGCCAAGCAGCTTATATAGTAAGATGTAGGTTGGAGGTTGAGGAGATAAGGCAGCTAAATTAGTGGGTACGGAAGCATGACGTCTTAGTTCTTCATCAGTCTCTATCACAACTACTCATATCATAGCAACGCACGAGTGATACCTAACAAAGACATTTCATGATAACGTGATGCATAACATCTTATTAATACGTGAAACAAAAACTTTTGGCCCCTTTTTAAGTGCGCACTGAGGTGTATGAAATTTCGCACACTTATAATTATATAGAGAAAGAGTGCAAATTGCAAATTATTTTTGAAAATTATGCAATATAAATACTTTACACCAGGCATTTGACATAGGTATAGAAGTATAGACTTTGACAATAGAACCTTAATGTTCAAAGGTACAATTTAACCACTAATAATAATAATAGATGGTAATGAAATTATGCATCCGCATGCACTAAGGTGCAATAACGCTATACGCTGGCGGGGCACCAGTGGAGGATGATGAGATGAGTAAATAGCAAATTCACCAGGATTTTAACATAGTCTAGTAACTGAATAGAAGTCAACCTGACATGTTATAGCTCATGTATATACGCGACGGTTACCACTTACCATCCGGCGTGCAGTCTACCTATTCATAACATAAAAAAATAGTTAATAACAGGACTAAGATTAATTATAATAACCAACTACTCATTTAAATGGGGTACGAATGTATCGATCGCGAACATAGCTAGGGGACCGACCGGCCGTGGCAAAACAAACAATTTTTTCGAGGGTGCCAAATGTAAATACGATGGCGGAACGGTACGCGACCAAGTTACTTCTATTTTGTACTGACGCCTGCCGGGTGAGGGGTCGGTACGCGGGGGTGTTAGACTTTATAGTATGCCTCTCGGATTATAACCAATTTAGGATTATACTTATTCTAACTTTACAATTAATTTAAAGCCCTGTGCGGTGATAGTTTTCATAGTTATAAAATTATGTACCCTGACTTTCAATGCACAGTCAAAACTTCCTAAGTCTAGCTTATATTTCTAAAAGGTATATAATAAACTTTATTATATAACTTAAGCTATATAATAAAGTTTATTATGTTAAGAAAGTATTTTAGAAGATTTCTTGTAAATGTAATTTATTATAAATCTAGGTATGATAAGGTAGATTGCGGAATCCATTTCATTACTTAATGAATTTATACTAAGTAGTTTGTTTAATTAAATATAATAATATGAATCTGCTAAGTAGTAAGAATAGTATAATTTTCATTTAATCCTTGCTAATTTTATTAATTATTTAGATACCGACTTCTAAACACGGACGAGGTCCCTAATTTAATATTATAACTAAATAAATTAGGCTTTTTTCTTTGATGAGTATAGTTTTAGATGGAACGCGTTGAAAATTCATTCGGAATTCATATATTAGTTAATTTATTCCGGTAATTTTAGTAAGTAATTGGACATATGATTTTTATAATTGCAACGTCCTTTTGAAAAGTGATAGTTGATATTAGATAATATACTTTATTAATCTCAAGACTCAATCCACAAGCAAACAACAATACTGTAATTTATTTATAATAAATAACAATATCTGTAATTGGGGAAAATCGTGTATCATTGAAAAATGTACCTTATTTCAACGCAATAGGCCACTTTACAATCAACGTCTTACTTATGCGGCTCAAAACACAGTTTTATAGTTATTAGTGTACCCTTATGGTATATTTACATCTATTTCTTTTTTGTTAAGAATAGTTCAATTCGTTTTAAATATAATATTATAAACTCGATATACATATAAATATCCGAACTATTATTATATTAATTATATTTGCCGTTGTCTTAAAAAAAGAAGGATTATTAAGAAATAATAAGTTTTTTATTTAATTACGTGGTGTAGTTAGGTTAATTTTCAATATACTTGAAATAATATATTATTTTAAATGCAATAAATAAAAGATTCAATTTGTAATAGATATAATTATTAATAGAATTTGGTACTAATACTAAATCACGAAGCATTTTCATATATTTGTTCATAATTTTGTAGGAGACTGTCCGATTGTAAACAGGAATTGTGGTTACCTCTAGGGTAAGTGTGAATATTATACGGGCAATGAATGACGTCGCGTTAGATGGAATGGTGAATCTATTGTTACTAAATACTACTTGTAACTAGTACAAAACAAAATGCCTCTGTTCGTCTGTATGTCTCTCCTTTACTTCTAAACAGTGACTGCTATGAGTATTATTACCATTTATTTATTTTTAAAAAATTTAATAGAATAATTGAATTTGCTTGTACCTAAGTACAAGCAATATATTCTATTCTGACACCCCGGTGGTGTAGCAGTTTAGTACACTGCATCATCACTATTCGCGCATTCGTTCCTCACATCTATAGAAATAAATAAAGTTGAAGTGTTTTAATATAAATAATAACAATTCTTACGTTACAAAATTATATATGTACGAATTATGAGTAGTAAAGTTTAGTAGTTGTTTATGTAGATAGACAGACAAACGATTTTATAGTTATAGATATGACATTTGCATTGTGTCCGAGTGAAGTCGGAACTGTTCGCTATTGTACAATAATTTGCTACACTAATAGTGATTACATGGTAGTTGCCGAGTTACCGCAGGTCATTGAACCTTAATTCTACTAGGGCACAGCGTCTTTAAACTTACCAAAAAATAATGTCTTACAATATTCATAGTACTTAATAATAATAATATTTCACGACAATTCACACAGCGCCATCTAGTCCTACGCTAAGGAGACTATTTACTAGAGAACTGATATAGATATAT